TCACGACATCAAGCTTCTATAATCAATACATATCCTCCATCTGGTGATGACCTTATTAGGAACAAGTTCTTTATTTTCATTAGAGACCATTGTCACATCATATACTTCTTAGGAACCACTTGAGTGGGACTTACTCACTTGTTATCCGCAATAGGGTAAATGATTCCCACATCTAACAGCTTCAACACCTCTTTTCTAACCACCTCCTTCATGTTTGGATGCAAATCCCTTTTATATCCACAATAGTCGATCCAATGGTTGTGTTATGCTCAAAAAGAAGTTGGAGAAGCTTACCCTCTTGAGTCTTATAGAGATGGGATGAGACGATTATCAAAAAGGCATTATTTTCTCCAAGGAAAGAATATTTTAAGTCTATTGGCAAGGGCTTCAACTCCAACTTGAGTGTTTGAATTCTTGAAGGAATTGGAGGAGTGGTGTTTAGTGCAAGCTCTTCAAATTTAGATTTCCACTCTCTCGTCTCAAAACCTGTGAATAATTCAACAAGTTAGTAAGTGCATTAACCTCATCATTATCATTATTAAATCATAGAAAGGATCTAGCCTTTTCAAGAAGACATGCTTCAAGAGGATCAGACAATGAAGAATCATTAAGTTGATCTTGTACAATGTAATCAATTAAGTTAACTCCATGCGAATCATCACTCACATCACCCGGATGCTTACATACATTAAAGATGTCCAGCTCTAACGTCATATTAATACAAAAAATTTCATTACTTTCTTTTGGCAATTAATCAAAGCATTAGATGTAGCGAGAAATAGGCAACCTAAAATTATGGGAATTTGTATATTTGTGTTCACAATGGGTAGAGTGTCTAGAATAATGAAGTCAATCGGAAAGTAAAAATTATCAACTTGCACCAAAAAGTTCCTCCACCATACCTGTTGGAATCTGAACCAACCTATCTACCAATTGGAGTGTAACGAAAGTAGGTTTCAATTCCCCAAGTTCCAATTGTTCATAGACCGGGTAGGAAAGCAAATTCACACTAGTTTCTAATTCAAGTAATGCTTGTTCAAATTTGAACTTCCCTATGACACGTGCAAGGATAGGAAAACTCGAATTGTATTTTGGAGGGGTATTATATTGGATGATGGGAGACACTAGTTTGGTCAAAAAGGCTTTCTTTTGAACATTAAGCTTTCTCTTGATGGTACACAAAGTCTTTCAAAAATTTAGCATATGATGAAATTTTCTTGATGCCATCTAGCAATGAAATATTAATCTTGACTTGTTTGAATTCTTCCAAAATCTCATAATTCAAATTAGCCTTTGATGGTGAAGCAAACCATTGAGGAAAAGGTGTGGGTATAGGACATCTAGGTGGTTCACTAGGCACATCTTCTATGATAGGCCCAATATGGTCATCACCCTCATCTTTCCTAGTTTTTTTTTACTCTCATTAGGTTCTTGATCCTTCAAGGGGATGATCTTATCAACAACCTTTCCACTCCTAAAAGAGGTGATAGCCTGCACTTGTTCTTGGGTGACATCCGGTGATGAAGAAGAAATCCCCACTTGGAGTTGGCCTTGTGGATTTGGTTGAGGTTGTGACAGAAACTTTACTTTTTCTTGGTGGCAAGGGGCTATGGTCAACTTGGTAAGTGTATTCTAGATATTTTTTATGGCTTCTTATTGTTTATTGAAGTTTTTGGTCAATAGGCCAAGGGCTTGATTGGTTTGGGTATTCATTGTGGCTTGACTAGTGATGAATTGTTGTAAGGTGTCCTCCAAAGACCTCTTGGGTGGTGATGTATAAGTGAAAAAATTGGACATCCCTTGAAGAGGTGGTTGGGAAGGTGGTTGTTGTGTGGCTTTGTTTTTTCTCCAACTAAAATTGGGGAGACCCTTTCACCCTGGTTTGTAAGTGTTTGAGTAGAGGTTGCTATAGGGCTTGGAAAAGGCATTTCCCACATTGACTTGGTCACTCAACACCTCCTTCAAAGCAGGGATCGTAGGGCACTCATTAGTTGAACGCCCTTTGATCTCACAAATTAAGCACAACTCCTCTTATGACACAGTTTGGACCTCATTCACGTTTTTCATCTCCATCGCCTCAATCTTCCTAACTAATATTGCAATCCTTTCAATCAAGTCATCCTCCTCCTTCTATTGATACTTTTCCCCACCTAATTTTGCATTCGATGTCTTAGAACTAGACTTAGGGGATTGAATGTCCCAAGATTGGGCACTCTTAGCCAAGGAATCAAAGTAGTCAAAAGCCTCCTCCAGTTATTTAGTCATAAACTCCCAATTACACATCATTTCTACAAAATTCCTCATTTGTAAAGATAAAGCCACTTTAAAATTTTTTTTTTATGATCCACCAACTTTTGTAGCCATGATGAGAGCATGATGAAAGTAGTTCCTTGAACCTCTCCCAACATTGGTAAAACATTTCACTTTATTTTTTTTGAGAGAGAAATTTATTATTTGTAGCTTCAAATAGTTTGTTTTCTGAGTTGGGTAAAAATTTTTAAGGAACTCTTCTTGCATTTCCCGCCATGTTCCAATAGATCTTGGCCTAAGGGAGTTCAACCACGTTTTGGCTTTATCCTTTAGAGAGAAGGGAAATAGCTTCAAACGGACTATACCCTCCATTGCTGTCGAGTCTTGAATGTGGCACAAACCTCCTCAAACTCATGGACATGAAGGTAGGGGTTTTCGAAATCTAAACCATGAAATTGATGCAACAATACAGTCATTCCCAGTTTAAAGAAACATTGATGAGCTTGCACGGGAAAAATAATGCATGAAGGTATAGTGTGGCGGGTGGGATGTAAGTACTATATCAATGTTCTAGTATTATTAGCATTTACATTAACATGCCCATTGTTCACTTCATCATACTCCTCATTGTTATCATGATTACCCCTAACATCATTCACTGGTGGGTCTACTTGTGGCATGAAAGGATTGCGACCCTTGTGGGTTTCCAAGTATCGTGTGGTTTTGGTCTAATTGGGGTGGTGGTGGTAGTAAAGGGTTTTGACCCATTGGTAGATTTTGAGCAATCCTAATATGTCTATGTGCTCGTGGGGGCAAGTCAAATAAATCTCCAAATAATGAGTCAAGATCTTCCCTAATCAACCTTCCACCAATCTTTCTATGCCAAGAGTTCATGCAACAATAACCAACACAAGTAGTAAAATAAAAAAAAATGTGAGAAAATTAAATGATAGTTATGTAAAATTGGAAAGAGTTTACCCGATCTCCGCTAATGCAAAAAATGAGCAAACCTCAAATGATGATAGAACACTCCTCAATTGTGTCTCTTCCTTGGCAACAATGTCAAAAAATTGCATCGCCTCTGAAGTTGTAAGCCCGAGTATAGGATGTCAAGAAAGTAGTAAATCTTGGTAGAGTCCAAGGTCGATCTATAGGGAGATGGGAATTTCATATTGTGAAAAAGGATTAATAAAATAAAATATGTGGTTGTTTGAGAGAGTGATTTTGTAATTGAAATTTAGAACAAATAAACCAAAATTGATTACGAAAAATTGAGAAAAATTCTAAGGCATTGGGTACTATTTCAATAATACTTGGATAGCAAATTGATCCTAATTTCCAATCTCAATTGGGAATCAACTAGGGAGTGAACCCAATTGGAATATTTGGCAAAAATTTATTAGGAAATTCTCTAATGTAAAATCAAAAGTTAATCTAAATGAATACAGAAATCTAATTGTCAATTATAAGCATTCACCATGTTCGGAGTCTATGATAAATCAAGCAATTGAACAATGAAACAACAAAATTCATAAAAACTAATAGATCAATTAATTAAATGAACATTCCAACAATTCAACCTAAGCATGTACATCTAGCTATGAACTCATAGGGAATCTCAAGCATTCATCACATGTAGGATAATATTTCAAGAGATTATATAGAGAGTAAGCTTTGCTAAAATAAGGACTGAATTATTAAAAAAATCTCACATGAAGGACATAGGATCTATTTACATACCCAAGTGCATTAAAACTTTCTCTAGCCTTAGTATGAGGGATTAGCCAGCCATGGAGAATGAAGTAATCACAAAATTACTATGAGTATAAATTTTCAAGATCCGATATAAACCCTAAACTCCTTAAAAAGTACAAAGGTACTTTTCCAAAAGTAGAAGAAGATCCCTTTCTCACATCATCGAGCCTTTCTCATTGGTTGGGAGCATTAACAAGAGTACGGATGTGGCTTTTATGACATCTGAATGTGAAGTAGTGGTAGCTTAGCCAAATTTTTACCTCTGATACAAAACCTCACGTCCGGACTAGGGCAATTGACGTCCGGACATGGCCTTCAATTATTTTATCTTCAATTTTCTTCTTTACTTTGTGTATTCCACTACCACGTTTGCCTATTTACCTCCTAATCTCACCATTTTACTTACAAAACAAACAAACATCAAATACAACATGAAACATATGCAATTTAGTCCAAACCCCTGAAAATTAGCCCACAGATGATAGGACAAATATGCAATTTTAAGAGCTAATCACACATGCCAGATCTTTAGAGTAATGTCGATCCTTGACCCTACCATAAACTCTTGTAGCAGCACAATCTTTAGAATCCCCATCTTCTTCTCCGAGCCCTTGGGATAGATATTTTAATGGAGAATCTTGTTGAGCAAATGATAGTTGGCCACCAGATGGCCGTGAATGAAATTTTCCTTGAAATCCTCAGCCCTATCATACATGTCCTTCACATACTCTAAGGGGTCTTTGGCAACAAAATTCACATAGGGTTAGTCAATTGTAGATGGCTCAGGCCTCTCACATCTAAGATATTTAGCTATCAAAGCCGGAGTCACATTTATGCCCTTCCCCCCACCTTAGTCCTAAACGCCATCAAATCTATATCCACCACAAAAACACCCAAATAAAACTCATGACACAAGGACAATATGTAACCCTCAATAGGCTTAAAGAAAAACTCCAACCCAAAATAAATAAAAGCCTATACCGCAAAACTCTTACCTAGGCTCTCTGCATCAATCATTCTTTCGCACATAACACTCTTTTTCGCAATTGTGTCCTTGTACCTAAATTTCTTTTCCTTCTTGGGCACAAGAGGTGCCTGTTCATCTTCCTCATTCCCCGAATCAACCAACATAGGCCTATTTCCTTTGGCTCTTGCTGACGCCCTCATTGCCCCTTTCCCTTTAGCCATTGCTATGGCCTTGGCTTGGGGTGACCCTTGACAACCCAATGTCCTGGCCACACCCGCCACTATCATGGAGGTCAGCGAAAAAAAAAAGGACCCAAGCAAGGAGTATAGCCCTAGATATTTCATCAAAGGAAGTTGAAGGCAAAAATTTCCTTAGAGCAATTACTAAAATAATCCTAGATCAAGACAAGAATCAGCAAGAGAATGGAGAAATTTTGAGGAATTAAAGGATTTCCTAGGGTTTTTTGGCAACTATGGGAGAGGTTTGAGGGAATGGATATCAAGGGTTTAAGAGAATGAAATGACTTTAACTAGTAGCAAACCCTTTTTTTTTTGGACAACACATGAACCTACCAACAGGAAGTAATATTAGACCTACTAGTAGCTTAGTGCGGAATTTTAAAGGTTTTTTTCTATATTTTTATCTTTAAAAAAAAAACTAACAAAGCTAACTAAGACCCAAACTTCTAAGACTCAAAATATGTCCAATTGAAGTCTTTGATCAATACAATTTGTGACTCAAAATAAAAAATAAAATGCGAAGGAATTTAAAGCATAATAACCAATCTAATAAAAAGTAAATTAAATGCGAAACTAGAAATACAAAACCACTTTCGTAGACAATATTAATGCATTCAGCCTACACACTAAGCCTGTAAACCCCTAGGTTACCCTTAATAGATGAGTGCTGTCTCGTGATGTTTTCTAGAGAAGAAACTTGCAAACTTTAATTTGCCTTTCTAGAATTAAATTGTTGTCTCCTAATCATGATGAAATCAAATTCATACCATATCTACTCAATTTCAGTGACACACAGGTCTTCTATTAAGTAGTGATGTGTAGATATGGAATCATGAAAATATCATTTGGAAACATGACCTTGGACCTAAATATTTTTAAAAGTACAAAACGACCTAGAGAAGAAGAAGAAGACAAAGAAGAACCATATGAAGTAAACCGAGTTGAGACATTAAGTCAAATATATTTTGAAAAGAATTTTCTAAAAAAAAGTTATTGGCATTAGAATCAGTACCTGAAACCAAATCTAAAAATACATCCACAAAGGATCTACAATGCGAAGAATTGTTACCAAAACTTGTAGAATCCAATATCAAAGTTTTTAAGCCATCATTAAAACCTCTTCCAACTAACCTAAAATATGTCTTTTTAGGAGAAGAAGAATTATATCCAGTTATAATATCATCAAAGTTATCTGAAATTCAAGAAAAAAATTGACAAAAGTTTTGAAAAAACACCAAAGTGTTATTGGATGGACGATTGCAGATATAAAAGGTATAAGTCCACTTCTATGTACTCATTGTATCTATTTGGAAGACAATGCTAAACCATCTCGACAGATGTAAAGAAGATTGAATCCCTACTTAAAAGAAGTAGTGCGTGCTGAAGTACTTAAACTATTAGATGCTAATATTATCTATCCTATATCTGATAGTAAATGGGTTAGTCCTACACAAGTAGTTCCTAAGAAATCTGGTGTTACAGTAAAAAAAAAATCAAGAAAATGAATTAGTTCCAATGCGTACAGTTACAAGTTGGCGTGTATGTGTTGACTACCGAAAGCTGAATTCTCTTACAAGAAAAGATCACTTTCCTTTACCATTCCTAGATCAAATCTTGGAAATAATAGTTGGCTGGGCATGCATATTATTGCTTTCTAGATGGATATTCTGGTTATAATCAAATTGAAATTGCAATAGATGATCAAGAAAAAACTACATTTACATGTCCATTTGGAACTTTTGCTTATAAAAGAATGCCTTTTGGGTTATGTAATGCACAAGCTACTTTTCAGCGTTGCATGCTAAGTATATTTAGTGATATGGTAGAATGATATCTAGAAGTTTTTATGGATGATATACGGTGTTTCATTTAACTTATGTTTAGAAAATATGGAAAAAGTACTTATTAGATGTGAAGAAATAAACCTTGTCTTAAATTGGAAAAAATATCATTTCATGGTTACACACGGTATTGCTTTGGGGTCATATAGTTTCTATAAAAGGAATTGAAGTTGATAAATCAAAAATTGACTTAATAGCTAATCTTCCTTCACCAAAAATCGTAAAAGATGTTCGGTCTTTTTTGGGTTACACTGGATTTTATCGAAGATTCATTAAAAATTTTAGTTCAATATCAAGACCAATCTGTAATATCTTATGTCAAGATATAAATTTTGAATGGAATGATGCATGTCAATTAGCATTTGATAAATTAAAAAACATGCTTATTTCTACACCTATCATGCAACCTCCTGACTGGTCTCTACCTTTCGAATTAATGTGTGATGCAAGTGATTTTGCAGTAAGAGCTGTATTAGGTCAAAGAAAAGAGAAAAAACATTATGTTATCTATTATGCAAATAAAACTCTAAATGATCCACAAATGAACTATTCAACCACAAAAAAAGAATTGCTTGCTGTTTTATTTGCATTAGATAAATTTCGACCATATCTGGTTGGATCGTCAATTGTAGTATTTATAGATCATGCAACCTTAAAATATTTACTTACTAAGAAAGAAGCTAAACCACGTCTCCTACAATGGATTTTATTACTTCAAGAATTTGATCTTATAATTAAAGATAATAAAGGAGTAGAGAATGTGGTAGCAGATCACTTGTCAAGAGTAAATTACGATCAAAAGAAAGAACCAATTCCAATTAAAGAAACCTTTCCAGATGAACAACTTTTAGCAATAACCGAAGTACCATGGTATGCAGATATAGCCAATTATTTAGCTACTAGTACTATTCCTTTTAATTATACCTTGACTGATAAAATCAAGTTCTTAAATGAGGTACGTAATTTTTTCTAGGAAGATCCTTATTGGTTTAAATACTGTAAGGACCAAATAATTAGACGATGTGTGCCTAATCATGAAATTAGTCAAGTAATTCAGTTATGTCACTCTGAAGCTTGCGGAGGCCACTTTGCTTCAAATAAAACCGCTGCTAAAATTTTGCAGTGTGAATTTTATTGACCAACTCTTTTTAAAAATGTTCATATCTTTTGTTTAATCTGTGATAGATGTCACAGAATGAGAAATATTTCAAAAATAAATATGATGCCTTTAAACCCTATCTTAGTTATTGAAATTTTCAATTGTTGGGGTATCGATTTTATGGGACCATTTCCCCCATCCTTTGGATATCTGTATATTTTAGTTACAGTTGACTATATTTCTAAATTGGTAGAGGCAATTCCCTATAGAAATAATGACCACAAAACAGTAATCAAATATTTGAAAGAAAATATTTTATCTAGATTTGGAATTCCTCGCGCCATTATAAGTGACGGTGGATTACATTTCTGTAACAAAGTTTTTGAAAACCTGATGAAAAAATATTCAATTTCACATAAAATATCCACTCCATACCATCCACAAACAAGTGGCCAAGCAGAATTAGCTAATAGGGAGATAAAATACATTTTAGAAAAGTCAGTAAATCCAGATCATAAGGATTGGTCATTAAGATTGACTGATGCGCTTTGGGCTTACCGTACTGCGTATAAGATTGTTCTAGGAATGTCTCCTTATAGGTTAGTTTATGGTAAACCATGTCACTTGCCTGTAGAATTAGAACATAAAGCATATTGGGCAATCAAAATGATGAATTTTGACATAAATGAAGCTGGAATGTATCGTAAACTACAAATAAATGAATTAGAGGAATTAAGAAATGAAGCATATGAAAATGCAAAAATTGTGAAAATCCAGAACCAAAATATTCCATGATAAGAATATTGTGCAAAATTTTTTTAAACCATCTCAAAAAGTTCTGTTATACAATACAAAGCTTCAGTTATGCCCTAGAAAACTAAAATCTAGATGGACAGGACCTTATATAGTCAAGCAAGTCTTTGATTATGGGGCAACTGAAATTGAAAACCCAATAACTAGGACTATCTTCAAAATAAATGGACAAAGACTTAAACCATACTATGATGGATTCACATAAGATGTAACTTCTGTGTTGCTTTTTGATCCAGTTTATGTGCACTAATTATATATTTGGTTGTTTGTAAGTAATAGTACTAATTATGTGTAATTTATTTGACAGATTAAAACTCCTGAGTGAAAGCCAAACATCATAACTGCTGAAAGACAACAAATTTTTGGTTTTTATTCTGAAATAGTGATTATTACTATTTTTACACTGCATATAACAATTAAATTAAGTTGGGGAGATAGGCATGTGAATTTACTTTGTGTGTTTAAAATTGTGCTTGTTATTTAAAAATTTTTGTTTGTCTTTGTGACTGGCAGACGTTAAAGAATCAGATAGTGAGTTAATTTTCGATAATGTTTTGAGTCATTTTCTTTTATTAAAAAAAAATTTGAAAAATGGACAAAAAATTATTTTGGTGAAGTTTAATTTTACTACGTCGCTTCCCAAAAGATATACATACGTTGATTATGCAAAAAGCTAGATATGTTAGAAATATAGATATTTTTGAAAACCAAGCACAACCTCTATGTGGAAAAAGTACATATGCCAAACATCGACGAGCAAATCGTCTTTGTGCTTGTGTAAAATGTGGTTGTACAGAACATCTGACATGGTACAATAAGTGTGCGGAACCAATTTCAGGTCGATCGTTTGATCGTTAACGGTGGATTAGGGACGGGCATAGCAAGGATTATCCTGAGACGCCATCCTATTCTGGCCTAATGCTAAACAGATACATGCGAACTGAAATTAACCGTGTCACTAGTGTCACTGATCAAAATAAAATCTTTGGAAGAATTGTACATATATGTAAATATTTATGTATAGAGTTATGTACATAAATGTAAATAACTATAAATTGATTAAAAAATTAGTAAATATTCAACAACAAATAAAAATTAAAAACCCACCAATTTTTTTGACAAGAAAAAAAAGAGTGATTAGCAAAAATTGTGTAGAATATATATATATATATATTGTATTTTGTATTTTGCAGGAATTTGAAGAACAAAAGAAAATTGCATAAAATAAA